GATCGACAAATGCTGTTCTTGAAAACCTCTAACCTTCTTTTCTAATGGTTCACTATATCCTGTCTGAACTATCAGCTGGGCACGGGGCTACCTGTTTTTGATTACCTGTACATATTGGAGTGGTTAACAAAACACTGATGTGTCTATACGAGACGAAATGAGTACTTACTTTATTAGACTCATTAAGGGAACACTGAAAATGCCCTCCTTCTGTTGTTTGATATTGTCGTGCTTGAGAAACGTTCTTTCTCTGAATGTCAGAGAAAATGTGAAATAGATCTGAAAAAGAGGCGAAAAAGAAAAGATAAAACAGGCATACTGACTGGAACGCGTTGAGTGAGAGCGTGAGTGAATGAGCCAAATTGTCCGTTCCGAAGGAAGGAGGACAACGACACGAAACATTAGCCCTGGCCGTTTGAATTCACGGAGACCAGGCTATGTGTACCATAGCTTTTCGCTTGTGGGTCACACAAGGTGGGTCTTGAGGGGGATGTTAAACGGGTAAACACAACTAAGTGATGAGTCCCGAAACGGGAAAAATAGCTGCCAGACTCTCGGCTTTGGTCACGCTACAGTTGTTGGTAGCAAGGATGGTGCAAAAGGGAGCTTGGGAAAGCAGTCTCAATTGATCCATTGAATGATTTGGAATGCCTAACTCGCAAATTATTGTTCACAATCACAGTAAACGCGATACGTTTACACTTCATTCTCGATCAAGTTACGTCTCATGCTGAGTGTCTCTCATATCATGCAAACCGTGAAGCAGGTAATTCCAGTATCTGTATCGTGTGCGTATGGTCAGCTGTCTATTCAATAAATTATAATAAGGGATGTCTGCTTTCTCATATCATTTCTTTTATTGTCAGGTTTTCTAGGTTTGACAAATCCACCATAACCAAAGCTACATCCTCCTTTCGTGACTACAATAAAGTAAACAAACTCTGATAACAGCATACGTAATGACAATATAGTTATACTGAGAGTTTATATAACTGCTCACGTTCGTACTATGTGATCATACGCTGTGGAATTCAAACAAGCACTACACCACATCCACGCTCCAAATTCCATAGGTGTCTCACACTATTGCCAGATCGCTCGGAAGAACCTTTAGCAGGATGCAATATTCTTCCGCAAGGGTTTATTTTACTGCACATCAGTTCACCTCAGTCAATGATTCTCTTCATCATCCATGCGTTCCTGCTAACAGACCATGAAGGCTTGTGCGCTCAAGCTTGTTCCCTATTTAAGTTCACGGCACTCGTCCTGCCCTATAAAAAATCTTTGATTACTGATGACCAAAACTTTCGAGGAGGAATTACAGCATCCTACCAACCGCTGGTGGAAGTTAGGTTCGGAAACCTTTTGTGGTAATCTTCCAGCAACTTACACTTAAAAAGTCGTAGGTTTCTGTCTTCTCTGACGCGGATCTGATCGGATTTTGCGCTCGATCTATCGAATTTGTCTGTGGAAATGCGGGTTACAATGCCTGCTCAGCTGATGTCAGTAGAAAGCAAGCAAGATCCTGTCGGTCGCCTTGTTAGTATATGGTGACTGATACGGGACTAGTATGCACACGAGTGTCAGCAATATCATACAGTTTACCAATAGATAAAAAACAGTAAAATTATGGCATACGCTCCACACGGGTGAGCAAATATTCTAATGTGTCAGTTTCAGGGATAACGCGGCAGGCAAAACGGGGAAAAGTATTCCACCATAAAGCAGAACGGATCAGAAATGGATTTCGCTTCGCAGTGTTATGGATTAGAGCGAAAGTACAATAGAAATTGATGAAGTAACTGATAAAAATACGAGAACGATCTGGACATAGTGGCTCAATTAGTGAATTGGGCAATTATCTGCACCTCAAAATAAAGAAATTTGCAAGCTAGTTCAAAAGAAACACAAAATAATTACGAACAATTGTTTGATTATCGATTTTTCTTCAATATTTTCTCGTTCATCAAATGGGATCTTAACTGAAAAGAAAGCATTGGCCACATTCGATTGAATAAATATTTTAAAATATCCCATTTCCTTAAAACATGTTGTACAATCACAAAAATGAAAAAAGGCTCTCCGGTTAAACGTGACATAAACGTGGGTGATGAGTTTAATGTCATCGAGTGTGTGGTGCCGATGTGCTTCAAAGAAACAACAATGGAACAACACCATCTCCGAAATGCAGTCTGTATTCAGTCGAGGTTTCGATGTACACACAAACCAATCTCTGTCCACTCCGGTAAACACTGATAAGCAGACAGCGGCTTTCATTGAATTATTGCCACCAAAACGCATACACGGAAATTGAGAAAAGTCGCCCTTTGACACATATGACAACGCTGGCTTTAATAATCTCACTAGGTAATAAGTACTGTAACTAAACCGATTCGGGCTATGTTTATCATTCAGGGTATGCCTGATCAATTTTCAAAACGGATAAATTGGCTTGTTTCCCCTGTTTTTGTGTTCTATTGAATCATGTGGTTTCGGAGTTAACGAAACTGTTGGGCTCAGTTTGGGAGAGGGAATAAGTTCCAGCTGAATGGTGTGAATCTGCCGTCATACCGATTTACAAAAAAGGTGATAAGTCCTCTTAAGAAAACCACAGAGAAATTAGTTCAACCAATTTTCCTTCTAAACTTCTCGCTGGGATCATACTTCGTCGATTGTCTGCCGCACGTCGACAGTGCACGAGTGAGAACCAGGCCGCTTTCAGACCTTGTCGAGGTTGTATCGACTACATCTTCAATCTTCGCCAAAAACTGGAGGACCGACATTTTGTTCGTAGACCCTGTTTGTATTGCTCCATCTGAAAGCGGTCTTCGACTCAGTCGACCGCTCTAAACTCTGGCACTGCCTTTCCCTTTGGGGTGGGCCCGAGAAGTTAATCTCAATATTACGACCGCTTTATACACGAATTCGAGTCCGAATCTACGGCACTTTATCGCCCTTGTTCACCAGGGGAGGTGATATTCGTCACGGTTGCCCTATCCCCTGTTTCTATTTAACTTTGTTATGGATGTGCTTATGGAAATAACCCTATCCTCATGCGTGAATAGCGGCATCGATTTACTCCCAGGTGTTGGGCTGTCTGATCTAGAGTATGCAGACGATATTGTGCTACTGATTAAAGATGTGGGTAGGGTGGAAGCTTTTCTGGGCACCTTGAATGCCAGGGTAGCCATGTTTTGTATGCGCTTTGCACTTCGAAAGTGTAAAATGTTACCAACGCATTGGGTTGGTCCAGTCCCCAAATTCACCCTGATTGGGGAAGTAGTAGAACAAGTAGACAATTTCTTCTATCTGGGCACCTATATCTCACCCGGTGGACGCATCATGCATGAATTGTCAGCTGGCGTACAAAAAGCTCTGTTTGCACTTGTCAACTTAAGACATCTGTGTCGCCGTCGCGACATCCGGATCTCTGTGAAGGGTTGAGTGTATGCCGTGACAGTTCGTCCAGTCCTGCTATCCGGTGCAGAAACTTGGCCATTAAGAAAACAGAATAAAGACAGACTGTCGGTGTTTGAACACCGCTGTCTACGCAGCATTGCACGAATCCGGTGGGGTAACCGGATGAGCAATCCTGGGGTTAGGCGCAGAGTTTTGGGCATCCGCGGTCGCCCACGAGAGTAAGTGGTCGACCTCCGCAGATGAAGTTGATTGGGGCATGTATTGCACATGTCACCAAATAGGCTGCCACGATGAGCGATGTTTGCCGAGGCAGATAGTTGGTGGAAAAAGGCAATGGTGGTTAAGCTAATACCTGGCTTGAGGGTATGATTACTCTAAGCCCGGTACAGGGTCACATAGATCCCGTTAGGTGTATTGGATGGGGACCTCGGGATGATCGTAACAGATGGTTATGGACACTGAGTGACATTGCTGGGTGTCGTAAGCAATGGCTTTCTAGCATCATCTCAATTAGTTTGCATGCTTAGGCTACTGAACTTCTCGATTTTCTCTTCGATCTCACTTTCACCCTTCCTGATTCCCTCTTATTGCTCATCCAAATGGGTAGCCAAAGGATGGCAACCAAAGCGATGCACAGAAATGCATGGCTAAAGGTTGTTCAAACTAAAAAACTGAATTGAATCAAGTGAATTTTATCCTCAACGATAAGACACATCAATTATTGTATATATTTATAATAGACTGAACGTCTATGTAGGTAAACAAAACTGATTACAACATCAAAAATACGGATTGTGAGAATGCGCCTTGCTTACATGTGTTAGGGTTATCAAAATAGTGACCCGGAATTCCCGGGTTCGAATCGCTTAACCGCTGTCTCTTTATTCCCGTGTTCGGATTTTCTCAAGCGGCCTTTGTATGATCGAGGCCCATTTCCTGAAAGTTGTTTGCATATTTGGTTACTCAATAAATTAAACGGAATCAAGTCCCGGTTACCTTATTTTATTTATTTTCATTTATCACACGTATTTCAAATCACTAAATTGAAATAAGCAATTATCAGTCTTGACTAGCCATCCTTCATACGTTCTCTTCACATACAACCTTCAGACTGTGCAGCCATTTACGATAATGCAAAAACAATCATTGATATCATACTGTGCCCATCTACTCACCATCTTTTGACCAGTTTCGTGGGTGTCTATCAGACGAACTTCATTGCTGTAAGAGAGATTGCTGCGATCTAACTGGAATAAAGGCGAGAGAGAAGAGAACGATTTTGTTAGTTAATCTGTTATAGATTGGAATACCACATGATTTACATAGATAATCCATTTATTAAGCCCATTTGTTCCAGAGGACAACAGCGTAAAAATCGCGATTAGATTCCTAGATCGAACCAGAGAATTTAACTGAAAACGAAAGAAAAAATGGTGTTCTTCGACATCACATCTCTGTTTAAAAACGTATCGACAAAACTGGCTTTGGAAAGCATATAGAATCTGACAAAAGATGGTCTTTGTCTTCCAGAAATAACATCACTTTTGGTGACTGACATCGTGAACCTGTTTGAACTCTACATGGAAACATCTATAGTTTGAAGGGAGGATATATCGAAAGGTGAAGGGTACCCAAAAGGGGTCCCCAATCTCCGGCTTACTAGGTGATGCGGTGAAGAAGCAGTCTGAAGAACACCGTCTTCGTCTCCGGATCCGACGTGGATGACTCCTTTGCAGTGCTTCCAGCAGCAAGATAACCTAAACAAGTTTATGCCAGGGGCAGCATTTACCAGCAAAGAGGAAAACGATATGAAGCTCCGATTCCAGGGCGTTTTCGTAACACAGGTGCTGAACTACGACAGAGACCATCCCGAGTGTCTGCTAAGAGGCTGCGTTTAAACATTGTTGCGTTGTGCGGGCAAACATTGTGGCACAGAAGAATCCCGGCATGAATTCTGCACAAATGGATACCCCAAAAGTTTCGTCCAATCATGCCTTAGAGGAAAAAGAAACCCAAAGGATGAAGAGAAGAAAACGAAACTCTTATTACCATACACATGGGGAGTATCAGAAGCGGTCGGTAGCATCCTTCGCCCTAGGGGTGTTACTATGGCCCAGAAACCAACAACAACACAGCGGTTAATTTTGTTCAACGCCAAGGACCACGTAAAACCACACGATCAATCGGAGGTGATGTACACAATTCCGTGCCTAGACTGTGACCAACGTCAAGTAGGGGAGACAGGCAAGCAACTGTGCACTCGATAACATGAAAACACTACGACGCGTTGACCCGAAGTCACAACTCTGGAACCACTACGCAACGACAGGTCACCAGATCAGAATCAACGACGCAAAAGACGTGGCAAGGACAAACAGGAAGGGGAAACGTCCGACCCTTGAACCGCTATTTTCGACCAACTCATATAATCGACACGTGGATAAGGATACGCATTACACAACGATTGCACAATCAATGAGGAAAGAGGGATTGATGGACAAACAGACGCGACGCAACAGACAGCACGAGAAACAAGTAGACCCGGTTCATTCAGACATGGTTATTTGACAACGAGCCCTAATCTGAATCAAAACGTCACAATAAATACTATGACTCAGCGCTTACTTTTTTATGAAAGTTCAATCAACTGTGATATGGCAATATATATATATATATATATATATATATCTGCTTACATAAGTCAAAACTTCAACCTGAGGCGTATGCTTTCTAACAAAAACAAATGAGTTGAAATAGGCCCTCAACTTTCCCATTTCATTTCCATCAATTCAGATTAGTGGCAGAAATGGCAGAACTACGGCAAAAAAAACATTTCAGTTTCAGTATTTTTTTTTCGGTAAAAGCAATCACTGAAGAAAACTCACCACGAGTTCCACGTAGCCCACATAATCACAGTGACGATATATGGTGAAACATATTTGATGTGCATCGTCCACATGCAAGTCAAAGGTCTGAAGAGAAATAGATCCGGGAACGATGAAAGGTTACTTTCGGGACTAGACAATAAATCGCAAATACAAGCAGATGCCCGCATCTAACCACGTACAGTTTAGCGTATCACATTCCGAAGAAAATTGGCTAGCTGAAAATTAGAACAGTAGTATGAGAATGGTTTCAAAACTGAGAGCTTTCCTAACATAATGATGTTAAAAAAGTACCTGTTTCAATACTCTATCTATCTCTCATTTAAAAGAAACAACTGTTCGGTGCAAACAACTTGAGAGTGAAAAATAATTCCACGGGGATATGTAATCTGACGCAAAACAGCATACCGATAATCTGACAGACGATTTGGAGCATCAGTTTCCACGAATGTCTCTTGAAGTAGGCGATTCTGGATAAGTGTTTGCTCTGTCTGACAGGGGTGTGCACTTTCATGAAAGATTATTCAAAAGAGGTTTAGACCTTTCGGAATGGACGTTTCAGTATAAGATTGCAGTTGTGTGATCATTTTGCTTGTTGTTCCTGTAGGTTATAAGTTCGTCTTATGTTCAAGATATACCTCATATTATCATTGTGCAGACAAATGTGCGGTCCCAGGGAAACAGTGATGCTGAGATGCTTACAAACATCTAGATTAGCGTTACTTTGAACCGATTGGAATTTGTCCTCCAAAACGCGAGTTTTCAAGTTCATCTTATTGGATGATTATAGGAGTTCATTGTGTAACGAAATCCGAAAACTGAATCTTATGATGTAAAGATGAAACTTTTGCTTTTTGAACATCGAATGGGAAACCGTTTGTGGTAAAAAATCAAAACAAAGTGCGTAGGGCATTTCTCGAACTGTTGAAGAATCTTTATAACGGTTTAGTAATTTTCGGCAGACATTCGTGTCGTTAACATACAGAAACGCTTTTGGCCACAGATTGCAAGGTAAACCCTTTATGAAAACAAAGATAAAGTAGGGATCAATTAATTTATGTAGTTGAACCCCACAGAAGGTGATGATAGATTTTGGTTATGAATCGAACTTTACGATGCGCCGTCAATCAAGCCCCACAACCTAATGAAGAACAACTGCAGTGTGTAACTTTTAGAATTTAATCACCGTAACTAAATAGTGCAGTGTAAACACACCTGACTGAAACAAAGGACATTGTTATAACGACCGGGGAGCACCGTCCGTCGCATAGAAATCGCGGTGAACCACCAGGGTAGATCTCTTGTTGTACCCGCTAGCCAAACTTTGTCTGTGCAAACCCCTCTGTGTGCCCCCAAACGATTGGCCCAGGCTCTTAAACTACCATGAACCACCCCTAACACACACACGCACTGCACATCGTTAGTTACCTTGATGCATCGAGGAACCTTATGATCTTTACAAATGACACATCCAATGTTGAAATGAAATTAACCCTGATAATCTGCAAGGTGTATCAATCCCGCCTGAACACATTTTATTGTGACCCCGGCCATCCAATTGGTTTTAACATAACTAAACAGCCGTTTGCGCGAATTAACTAGAGATCAAGTTATTTGCCGAGAAGTTGGGACGATGAATTCGTAACCGTTGTCAGTTGCTTGGAATTGGCTATCTAATTGATCAACGTCATGCGAGCGAGTTGTTAATGTGAAACATTGGACAACAGATGTAAACCACAAATAAATCATCGCACAAACCGGAAAAATGGTCGGCTGACTTATTTTAACTGGTCGGAAAAGAAACAGTCATCTGCTAAAATAAAGATAAATATAATGCAACCGACTAAACGTGCATCTTTCCGCCTTACGATTTCTTCCTCTCACTTTGATAAGACAAGGTAACTCAGTAAATGGGGTGTTCAGTTACCCGTGGAAGAAATTAAAACGATAATATTTGGAGTGTTTTTCACTTGTGGTTCATGACAGTGCCCCACGTATTGATTACCGAAATGGCAACGTTTTGCGTTTCTACCTACCTATCATCCACGTTTGAATTACCAAAGAAACAGCCACTCATACTAGAGAAGGCCACATGTATACCTTATCCACGTGACGCACCAACGTACTTGGTGTGATGTCATCGGTTTTTCGGGCCTGAAATTTGTGCGACACACGCCTAAACATATAGGTATGAAACGCCTTGGAAAATGATGGGATCAAGTGTATCACTCCTCCTAACGATATCATACAAGGAGGAATAAGCTGGATAACTTTCTACCGAGTTCTTCACAACTAACAAGTGATCACCAGTGAAAATATTTGTGATCACTGTCCCTTGGGATCGAGGCTTCTCGCCATCGATAGCTTCCAGCTGGGTCACCTCAAATAGGCAGCTTGAAAACATTTTAGCCCAACGTACCAATGAATACAGGGAAGTAGAATACGGGCAAACTAAAATATGATTAAAACTTGGCTGCACGTACTTGATTCGTGTTGTAATAGTGCGCGTCCGTGTTGACATAATTATCATAAGGAGAGGGCGTTGAAAAGGAGTCTGTGAAATGAAAGTGGTTCCACTTGATGAACTTACTTGGTGCCATTCCGGATCGGCAAACCGTGTCACTACCCGAGTTCGAGCCACCTCTTCATATTGTCCGTACGAGTCCACTTCAATTCGGACATGGTAGCCTGTGATCGGTAACGGGAATATATCCAAGTATCAATCAACTAACTAGTGTAGATTATTATTTAGTTCACACATGTAACTACTTCCAAATTATTTAAGTAACCAGTTTCCCCATGCACTGAAATTTTTATTTGTTCCACGCATTTTATCCAAGAACGGAATGCAGCAATCTGGGACCCATATGCAGATGGCACGGTCATCTGCAGTTTGCTGACTCAGTGAAGGTGATTGAACCTGAATTCGTCAGTGGGTGAAAGCTAAACAGAATGAATCTAGGTGCTATGACCAATGATCAGAAGACCCCGTTATATCTTTTAACCGTAAAAGGTAAAGATATAGAATCACAAGATCACAAAATGTACCATATGATTTGCTTTCGTTTGGTTTTGTATAAACGAACTAAAAGACTCCGGAGTTAAATATGCCGTTCAGAAATTAGCTGAAATCTTTCAAATGGCTTCTTTCTATTCCTGAAGGGGTATTCGTCAGGTGGATTCATCGTATCACCGCTCGGCGAAATATGGTTGATTATTTACTCTTTTTCTGATTACATACGGCTAAAAGACGAATCCGCTAAGCGATAAGAAGAATACGTCTGTATGGTGTCCGACTCGCATAGTCACGTGAACAGAAACACGCTGGCTCATGTATGGACCATCGAATGAGTGATCGATCAATTCGGCAGATGCAGACATACGCTAAATGACGCACATATGATTGGAAAACGGTCAATCACGTGAATCACTTACTGTCGACCTCTCCCAATCCTTGGACTTTGTGCACTGTGACCTGTAATATACCGGTAACGCCCGAATGTTCTGTAACGGATAAAATAAGAAATTCATGCTGAAGTACTATTGATATATTTTTTGTTCCACTTTGCAAAAGCTCGTTACAGAATTTCTGATGGGTTTCATACTTGTTTTACGTTCAGTTCGAACGAACGTTTGCAACTGATGCCAGATGCAGCTAAGCGCCCGGAATCTACTGAACTGAATAATTAGTTTCTCATGAAGCATTTAATAACATCTTGAACTATTTAAATATGTAACGACTTACTTTGACAACTAAATCGACTGACTTCAAAAAACTGAACATCGGATGCGAACTTCCCGACCCCATATACTCACAGAAGATATCACGCTAGATAGACCGGTACGCTACGGAGAGTATCCCCAGGTCGTGGTATTGAGAGAAGTCACTTTGGTTGTTGACCGACAATAGTCGTGCACTTCTTTACTGAATAAGTAGTTGAGGGCGTCAGTGACGCTACCTGAGAACGTGTTCAGTTTTCGCCTGACTATAAATAATGTGCCACAAACATCCGTAGAGAGCATACTGATATGAGTGATTCTTTCTGAGCACCAAGTATGATTATCTTTATCACGTGGTTGACCTAGCAGTTTACCTTATAGTGATATTGGAGGCATAATGTGTACCATGTTACCAGATTCCTTATGCGTTTGTTCATTAACAGGTCTTATCTCCACATAGAAGGTCATCAAACAGTAAAGGTGAAGTAGACCCAGAATGGTATTCCGAGTTCCTGCGAATGTTAACGATTTTTGAATAATTTGAATCTCTGCGGAAATCTTATCGAGGACTTAGTGAACTACTTAAACTGTATTATTTTCTTTCTCAGATTTTTATTCTCTTCCAAGAAATATCATCCAATAAGACAGTTCCCAAAGCATGCCTTGCGGAAACTGTATTGATTGGATTCCACACGGCGTGCGTATTATTTCTAAAGTGAGCGGAAGTAAGACCAATATAGGAGGCACAAAGTGACGACCGTCGATAGTGTAACTCAGAGGTAAGAGTTTGATAATCCAACCCGGATGTCGTTGGATACAAACATTTCCATCGCATTTAAATGCATTCAAATAGTAGGAATTGATGATCTTCGAAGGAGTTAAATCCAAACTGAAGATAATCAAAAGTACCTGGTGCCTCTGAACAATCGGATGGGCTAATCCAAGCTTGTTACTTTAAATCTCAGTATAGCCGTCCCAATCAGAAGCTGGCAAAAATAATTTCAATTTAACCCAGTGTGGAGAAGATTCAGTGCGACGAAATCGCGCTAGTGTTACAACTTCATGGTAGCCTACCAGGGGTGAGCATTTTTGACTAGCTGAATTTTATGCAACACATTTTGGATTACACATAAGTACCAGTGAGAATTTCAGGACCTCCAAATTGTTTGGTTTCGAATCAAGGACCCAGTCTAG